TCCAGGTGGGGTTGTAATTTAGCGGGCAGGCTCCTCTAAGTCAGCTAAATTAGGACCCCACCTGGAGCTCCTCCCACTGAACCAGCGCGCCACTGACTCGTCCCTGCTCTCTCCGGTGATGTGTTCGCAGTTTTGATCGATCACCGGCACACGGACACAGTGAGTGAGGGGAGATTTGGGGGGATTTATTAAGCAATTATGTATTGTCTGCCCTGTATTAGCAGTATATACTCTATATAGAGTATATACTGCTAATACAGTGCAGACAATACATTTACAATTATACTAACATGAATGTATTAAATGATCTGTATGTAGCCCTGTACTATGGATCATTTAACCCATTCATGTTAGCAGAGGATCACTGTAAATGTATTGTTGCAGGCACTCTATATGTACTATATACTACATATAGAATGCACTGAACAATAGATTTACAATTATCGTCTGCTAATATGAATGGGTTAAATGATCCGTAGTACATGATATGTAGCCCTGTACCCCCTTTTCCACTTACAGAGCAAGGTTATTGTTTTTCTTTTAAATAAATATTCATGTAATTTTATTGGTATCTATCTTCATTTTGTACATTTACCAGTAGCTACCTCATTTCCCACCCTCGGCTTATATTCGAGTCAATACTTTTTCGTGGTAAAATTAGGTACCTCGGCTTATATTCGGGACGGCTTATACTCGAGTATATACGGTAACTGCCTATTTTCAAATATACTGTGTATCCTTGCTTCACAGAAGCAGATATGTAGATTAAACAATTTACTAGTAAAGTTGTTTGGACTTGGATAATGTGGACATGGATCCAATTAATAAAATGTGGATAACATTGTATGATTGTATTTCTGTAGTAGTTCTCGGTGATGGAGTAAGGACACATGCATAGTTCATTCTCCTATTCTCCAAAGAATATTTGGCTCAACAACACAGTGAAAGTACACACATAGGAGCTATTTTATAAATCTGCTCATCCATCTGCTTGGCGAATGCCGTTCACACGTCGTTCCTGCTATTAGATGGAGGCAAGAAGCATAGGAAATTCCTATGCTCTTGGACTCCATCTAGTGATGAGAATGCTGTGCAAACTGGGTGGAAGGTTTATAAATCAGCCACATAGTGTGTGTATTTGTTAGCATGGGAACAAAGCAGAAAACCTTGCAAGCCCAGCATGCTGTCCCTGCCTCTCCACTTAAATTTACCACTTAGTTGTAGTGATGAAGAGATGTAACACAGACCTGATCTGTCATAAGAGGTATATAGAGATGGGGCTGGTGTTCATGCCTCTGAACCCCTGCATATCTGCCAAATGTACTTGCAGTTGTAGGAACAACTTGCTTCAAATTCTGCACACACTGCAAGACTAAGAAAGACTGAGACTGGCTTTTAAAGTCTTA